CTGGTGCCAGTCCATGGACTGGGGGAGGTTGGGGACTTAAAGTATGTATAATTAACTGTGCCAACAGCATTTAAGGCTGAGATTCTGCTTAGTTTATCTCAGAAGTTTAAACAAGAGAAAGTATGTTTATTGGTTTGTAGTTTTTGCTGCTTTTTGAAAGCTCAGCAAAACTAGTTGAACAATTGAAAACCTGATATTTTGTGTCTTATGAAATATGTATTCCAAAGTAGAAAATTCATAACAGCACTGTGAAATTTTAACTGGAAGTCCTTACAAAGTCTCTAAATGGGAGAGAGGCTTGTTATTCCCATTAGCAATAATATTTCTATATCGGGCAGGAAATTGTTTCCCCCGACTTCATTTTATTTATTATTAGTTGCTATTATGATGTTTACTGCTAGAAATATAATGCACACTATTATATAATGAAGGACTGATTTGCAGAGTCTTTAAAAATATGTTGCTTTCTGTAAAGGCTGCAAACTACTTAGACATCAAAGGCTTACTGGATGTGACATGCAAGACTGTTGCAAATATGATTAAGGGAAAAACACCAGAAGAAATCCGCAAGACTTTCAATATTAAAAATGACTTCACTGAGGAGGAGGAAGCCCAGGTACGTCAAGCTCTTTTACTTAAAACAAAATCTATTTACTATTTAATCCTACAACTATTTTAGCTTCTGTAGGCTAAAATAATTGCTTTCTGTTGATTAATGTATATATAGTTTGTGGTGAAGCTGGTGTTGCAGTAAGACTCTAAACTATTTTTTTATAGACAACGAATACGTAGTTGGCAATTCAGCCTTCATATAATTAAAATCAAATGATGGATAAAATAAATCTGTGCTGTAATTTGTCCCCTTTACTGTCTTTGCTATCATTCATGTATAGGAAAAGAAGTCTCAGAGAAGCTAGCTTACTGCAGAATAATTCACCTAGGCTTTCTGATACCAAGAAATGAGGGCAAAATAAGCAAAATTTCTGCAAGGAGCATTGCCAATACAGGAGTGCCTATGGATTTTATTCCAATAGTTGCTGCTATATGTAGGGGCGATGAGAGGGAGAGGGAGAGAGGGAGAGGGAGAGATCAGAGATAAAGGAGATGCCGTGCAAAATATTTTATTAATTTTTTATTTATTGCTGATTAAAGATGAGTTAGAGTAGGTTGCCTGACACAATCTAGATGTTTAGACTACAGTACCATATGCATGGCCTGTGAGTGGCACTGTTGAGAAAAACACTTAGCAGTTACCTAGCCTAAGTCTATAGTTTCAGTCTTGAAACTTGTTTATAATTCTTATTAGATTCCAATTGGAAAAACTTGCATCCAATTCTCCACTACAGAATTATTGTGTGATTGTTTATAATTCTTTTTAATACTATCACTATAATTGATGGAGTGCAAAGAAAATTTTTAGACACAACTGCTACCATTTATCTATTTGATTTCAGTGGATCATTTAGCATGTTGAAAATAATTGCTACTGTCTTGCAACCAGTAATCAAGCTAATAAAACCCATTTCTTCACCCCAGATTTTTACCCACCTTTGATTTTCTGTTGGCAGAATGAGTTCTCAATGTTAAAAATATGCATGCAGTTAGTTCTAAAATAGTCATAACTATGTTTCCATAAATATGGATATGTTCATTTTATATGATGGTACACTTTAATTTTAAATACTACTTGATATCTGGAAGACATCTGAATTGGGGAAATAATTTGAATCACTGGGATGCTATTAATCCAAATATCTAGAAAACGTATTTGATATTGCTCTTCAGGTATAATTGTCTTTATTTTTAGGTACGCAAAGAAAACCAGTGGTGTGAAGAGAAGTGAAGCTTTGTGCCTGATACCTAACAACACTGTAAGGATTGTTCCCAATATCAGTTGCACTGCTCTGTTTATAATTGTTAATATTAGACAAATGCAGCAGCAAATGAAGTTGTACTAGTCTGGTGGTGTTCTCTTTGCATGTGTAACGTTTGAATATAGATTTAAATTCTATGGTTTAATCAGTGTAATCTGATTTCCTTATTTTTCCTCTTCTCTAAAAACTAAACTCCATGCAAGTTCTGTATGGCAATTAGCACTGTAAACTAGACCTTCCGTGCTTCTGAATGTTTCACTGTCACATTAAAATCCTCAGCATGTCAGAATTCAGAAGTCGCTGACCTTGTAAATAAAATTACTTGCAAAAGTTTTCTGAAACTGAATCAGTGAAGTCTACTTTTATTCATGGAGTAAGAGCCACAAAATGTTTTGAAAAACAAGTTGGAATAATTGCTTTGGGGTTCTTCCATTCTACATCTTTTGTAGCAATGACATTGTTGTTAAAACTAAAGCAAAGTAGCTCTGCTTGATACCTACTATTCTGATCTAATAGAGGTGTAACCCTAGTGGCGCCTGGACAGTTAGAGCTCTCTTCCGGCTAAATACTTGTAGTTTCTGTAAAGAAGCATAGTATTTGGTATGTACGTATTTTTAAAACCAATAAAAATTTCAGTATTGATAAAAAAATAGATCTCTAAAAACAATTTCTTGGACAGTTAATATTTTATTTTAGTATTTCCTTATGGCTATCAGAAACATGACATCAGATTGCAGTGATTTGCCACTGCATATGCTGACTGGTGATATTGATGTATTTAAGTTCATAACACTTGGCAATAAGTTAGTAATTTTTTCATTCTTTGGGTTTCTGTTTAGGGATTAGAGGAGAGAGATGTAATAAGCAATTGTAATAAGCACTTCCCATTTCTGTATAAACACTAGGTAGAATAAAAGTTAAACATTTAAAGATCAGTGATGACCTTAAGCATTTAATGTACAATAAGGAATTTTAACATTTCACTATGCTTAATAAAGTGCATATCCTGGCAATTTCACAAATTTGGTCATTATCAAAAGTAATAAAGGCATTTTTCAATAAAATGGCTGACAAAAAGATTAATTACCAGTGATATTTTAATATAAAAGTAAATGGGTTCTCCTAGGCGCTGCTTGGAGTGTCCAAGCATGGGTTNTGTGCTTTTGATGTTTAGCCATGCCGGCCACATGACCACGGAGATGTCTTCGGACAGTGCTGGCTCTTTGGCTTTGAAACTGAGATGAGCACCGCCTCCTAGAATCAGGAGGGGAACCTTTACCTTATTGTACATGTCTTTTATGATAACCTTGTAATATATTACTGAATATTTTCTGTGAGCTACTTATATTTTGAAAGATTGATTTCAAATGCCTTTACATTACTTCCGTCAATCTAAACAATTCCTCTGCAAAAATTAGGCTTGTTCATCTTTTTGGAGCTGACTCCTTTAAATGGATTAGTCTTTATAGTTGGGGTGCTTTTGTATCCCTCGTTCCTTTTTGGAAGGATAATTCTCTGGTCAAAAATTCCATTGTCTAGCTTTTCCATTGTAACATCTATATCATTTCTGGAAAATGCAAGTCTGTTTGTATTGATACTGAGAGTGATTAAAACATTTCTTATATAGATTGCTGCAATGCGCCTCACATAAGGCTGACCTCAAATCTTTGGAAGTTGCAGTTAGTGCAAATATGACAGCATTCTGGCATGCATTTTGTTGTCCATTTTGTGCCATTTTTGTTTCCATTTTGTGACATTTCTTCTATCACTTGCATTGGTACAATTTTTATTCTGATTACATTATTTCTGTTTGGTTTACTTTTAGGCAGATTGTTTATTTTTAACTTTGTACTTTTTAAATGTTTAAAATTAGGCTTATTTTTTAAAGAGTAGTTTGTATTCAGTAGCTTCTGTACTGGAAGATAGTTCAAATAGTTGTAGAAAAACAACATATTTCATTATATAGTTAATAGTGCAATATCCTGGCAAAATTGTTAAAGGGTTTATCTTTAACCTAGTCTTTCTATATTTTTAGACATAACAAAATAGAAATTTGCATTATTTTTACATTATTGAAAATAATTTTCCAGTTGAAAGTATTTTTCTAGGAAGTAGTTAAACCAAACTACTTTAACTAGGAACATTTCTGTTGATCATTTTTACTGTTTTATTTCATTTTTCTGAATATTTTTCTGTAAATCCTTTGTATTAGTGTAGTTAGCCCTGGAATTCAGAATAATAAAGTATATAAGAAATATGTGAACTCTGATTCATATTTTCTACTTTTCTATCTCTGAAAGATTGGTACTTAAGCATTGTGAGCATGCTTAGTTTGAAAATGGTACAGACTTTTATTTAAACTCATAAATCACATTCCCAGTATTGTGCTAAGCAATGTTTATACAAAAGCTTTGTGGAGGCTAGTAAAGCACTAGTTTAGTGCAGTAGAAAACAAAACAAATTTTATAGAGCTTTTCCATAACGCATTTCAATTTCCAAAGGTGATTCAGTGGTGTACCCATCATAAAGATGATCCACCTCCTCCTGAGGATGATGAGAACAAAGAGAAACGAACAGATGATATCCCTGTGTGGGATCAAGAATTTCTCAAAGTAGACCAAGGAACTCTCTTTGAACTCATCCTGGTAAGTTGGCTTAGTATATATCCTGCTTCGCTGATATTTACAGACTAATGAAATATTGGAGTATAATAGAGCTAACACATGCAACTCACTAAATGAACATAATTTAAAACACCCCCCCCCAACCTTTTTGGCAGCAGGGACCAGTTCCATGGAGAGTTTTTCTGCGGACCAGAGAGGGTGTGGTTTTGTGTGGTGCCTGCATCCTGCAGATGGGCTTCACTTGTTTGCACAGCCCAGTTTCTGGCATGCTGTGGCCTGGTGCCAGTCCATGGACTGGGGGAGGTTGGGGACTTAAAGTATGTATAATTAACTGTGCCAACAGCATTTAAGGCTGAGATTCTGCTTAGTTT